CATAAATATGAAAATTTTATATGTTTTAAACTCAAAGTTATTAAGCACATTGCTTAAAGGATAAAAAACATGCCACTGTAAGGAACAGAATCATTGGTGAGCTTTAATGTACAATCTATGAAAACAAAATTCTCTCGATAAGAGATGCTAACAGCCTTGGTGGAGAGCTTGGACCGAGAAAAGGATATCTATTAAGCAGAGAGGATCAGGAGTCGTTAATACGATTAATCAGTATGACAATAAAGACTATCTATTGCATATGCAATGGTAACATGTACGAACAATTATTTAGACTTCCAGTGAAATCCCAGCTCTCATCTCTTTTGGCAAATACATACATGAACAAATTAGAAGAGAATTTCAAGATGTCATCGCAGCAACCAAGAGTATATCTTCGGTACTTTCATGCAGTCGCATAGAGGAGAACAATTGGGGGATTTCCTAAAGTGTATAAGCCACATCTATGAACTAATATATGGACTTCTTATGGAATCGCCGCTCTCACCTCTATTGAAAAACCTATGCACGAACAAATTAAAAGAGAATTTTAGGACGTCCCCGCTGACACGAAGAGTGCTCATGAAGTAACTGGAGTACTTTCGCATTTTGGCCGTGTGAAAGAGAAAAGTGAGACGAATTTCCGAAGCTTATGTCTGATTTATAAGATAATCAAATTCACAAAGGATCCAGAGGAGGAGAAGCTACCTTTCCTAGAGGCTGAAGTCATTCGCTCGAATTAGCACTCAGTAGATTGGCCAGAAAGAAATCATATGCCGAAATTATGTCCGATTTCCAGTCCTAACTACAGATTAAAGATAAGGATAATAAAGAGCATGATCATCAGAAGCCTACGAGAAACGAGCGAATTCAGAGATGAAGGATTGGACTGAGATTATGGAAGAAAAATAGAGCTGAAGACTGACAAAAGTGGATATACCTACCTTTTTGCGAAATAACTAGCAAGAAAATTTGATATTCAGGTAACCGAAAAAAAAGAAGAAATACTCTTTACACGTTTACCCATGCAACATGGGAGGCTAGAAATAGCGGAACATGGCAAAGACTGGACACGATATCAATTGTAAGGCAGCTCAAAGAAGGGTCTCCGGTGAAAGCACAAGGAAGCGAAAAAGCAGGGAGGCCATTGACAATCTTGAGAAAAAATATAATGAACAGGAGATTGGAAGAAGGCAAAGTTAGTGATAACTTTGCCAAATGCCTAAGCAAGCCCTGAGAAAACAAGGATACAAGATCAACAAAAAGGAAATGCCTGGATCAATAACTTTTCTGTATTCAGAGGAAAAAAGGTCGCAAATAAGAAACTAACGAGTAACATTCGGAAATGAAGAGAAGACGCTTTCAGTGAGTGTGGTCTGCTCGA